AAAAAAAGAAAAAACAACGGCGGAAGGCATTGAAAGAATTGAAATCTCCGCTTGAAGAGATAAAACAAAACGCGGGCGCTCTGCTTAAGCCGACTTCTGATCCTGCTGCTGTAAGTAAAATTCCTATTGTCGCATCTACATCTAATAAAAGATTTCCACGGCCAGTATCAACTACCTCGTCAACCGAGCAACATGACGAATGCGTGTTACAAAGATTTTAATTCGACGCATGAACTTTTGGCGATGTCAGATTGGTATAAATACGGGGCCCTAAGACGGTGTTCACGAATCTTGGTTGTACTACAATTTAACGTAAAAGCTAACCGGGATAATATCAGAACATCGTTCAGTCAGATTCCCAGAGTGCAAGACCCCTTTTCGAAAACTGTGCGCTTTCCGACAAACTATCTAGTGAGGATGGGCGCTGGGGAAATGATGAACACAGTGCTCCCCATTCTGACGTCACTCGATTTAGGAAATAGAGCAGTAAATCGTGACCACGTGACTTATGACAGCAGCGATGCAAAACGCTCTTACGATGTAAATGTGCAACGATTGGTTGCAATGTTGGCTAATGTGGAGCCCGATGAGTTGGCGTCGATGGGTGTCTTCAATCGCACAACTTTTGAACGAAAATATGACTTGAAGTGGGAATAAATAATACCACATTATAACGGGTGATTTTTTAAGAGCTTGATACCTTTTTTTTTAAAAAAAACGCATAAAATTTGCAAAATCTCATCGGTTCTTTATTTGAAACGTTAGATTGGTCCATGACATTTACTTTTTGAAGATAATTTCATTTAAATGTTGACCGCGGCTGCGTCTTAGGTGGTCCATTCGGAAAGTCCAATTTTGGGCAACTTTTTCGAGCATTTCGGCCGGAATAGCCCGAATTTCTTCGGAAATGTTGTCTTCCAAAGCTGGAATAGTTGCTGGCTTATTTCTGTAGACTTTAGACTTGACGTAGCCCCACAAAAAATAGTCTAAAGGCGTCAAATCGCATGATCTTGGTGGCCAACTTACCGGTCCATTTCTTGAGATGAATTGTTCTCCGAAGTTTTCCCTCAAAATGGCCATAGAATCGCGAGCTGTGTGGCATGTAGCGCCATCTTGTTGAAACCACATGTCAACCAAGTTCAGTTCTTCCATTTTTGGCAACAAAAAGTTTGTTAGCATCGAACGATAGCGATCGCCATTCACCGTAACGTTGCGTCCAACAGCATCTTTGAAAAAATACGGTCCAATGATTCCACCAGCGTACAAACCACACCAAACAGTGCATTTTTCGGGATGCATGGGCAGTTCTTGAACGGCTTCTGGTTGCTCTTCACTCCAAATGCGGCAATTTTGCTTATTTACGAAGCCATTCAACCAGAAATGAGCCTCATCGCTGAACAAAATTTGTCGATAAAAAAGCGGATTTTCTGCCAACTTTTTTTGGTAATAAAATTCAATGATTTGCAAGCGTTGCTCGTTAGTAAGTCTATTCATGATGAAATGTCAAAGCATACTGAGCATCTTTCTCTTTGACACCATGTCTGAAATCCCACGTGATCTGTCAAATACTAATGCATGAAAATCCTAACCTCAAAAAAATCACCCGTTATAAGTTATCTTACCTGTAATACCAATACCGATCAATGGCGCACCCTTTACTCACGTTGCCAGGCATGTGACCATATTGTTGCACTTACTAACTTTGCTGACGCGGCACACGCGGCACACGCGCAACCACCGATCAGGTCAAGTATCGGAATTATTGAAATCGTGGGAATTGCAATATAAGCAATTCCTGTCTGCACGCGCAAGCCCCAACTTGCGAAATGTGGGAACTGCAACCTTAGCATAAGTAGTTAGGAGTAAGAGGTTAGCCAGTAAGTCAATTCATATGTTTTAGGCAGTTAATTTTGGGACGTGCAAGTGACACGTAATAAATTGTGAAGTTCAACTCGAGTTGTCCGTCTTTTAATTACAGTTTGAATAGTATCGGCGAACAGTGGGTTCGCCGCACCTTTAATTTTTTATATCTCTCGCGACACGAGAGATTAACTGGCGCCCGAGCGGTTCGGTGCAGGGTCCGCCAAAGTCAATAAAAAAACAAAACGCTGTGAAAAAGGAAAAAAAAACGTTCCGCCTTAATCCGAAAAAAAATTGTGGAAAAAACTACAAGAAAGAATATAAGTAAAAACTGTGAAAAAATTGTGAGAATACACTTAGTAGCTCCATGCGAAAGTAACTGAAATAGAACAAAAACTGTGAAAAAAAAGGTTCCCCATAAAATCCGGAAAAATTAAGGAATATAAATAAAAACTGTGAGAACGCAAAAGTTCTATGCGAAATTAAATAATTTAAATCTGTGAAGAGAAGCGTACACTATAGAAAAAGCAAATACTCCAATGAAATATTGAGCTTTGTAAGTATACAAACTGTTAAAAGATAACCTTTAATCTCGTTACAGCATGAACGCGGACGAATTTTAGAAATCCATGACGGAAATGAATGGCGCAGTGAACGCCATTCTGTCACAACTGAGAAGGTTGGAAGAACGGCTCAAAAGTGTAGAGTCGAAGAGCAACGATGAGTCCTTACAAGGACTCAGTGAGAATCTAGAAAGGCTAGAGAGGCAGGTAGAGGAGGTTCGCAGGCAGTCCGCGGACCCGGAAACACGTCCGGTGGAAGAGCCACTGACAAGTCCTCGGACGGAGGACGAACTTAGGGAAATTTCTAAATTGCCAGACTGCGTGAAGGAGCTTCAAGTGTTCGATGGATCCAGGGAGCATTATTCCTCCTGGGTCCATAGCGTAGAGCAGGTTTTAAATGACTACCAGGTTGTACGGCATAAACCAATCTATAGGGCCATTCTGAGGCACATCAGGTGCAAAATTAGGGGTGCAGCCGATGCTGCACTAGTGTCGCATAACATTCTTGAGAGTGACTGGCGAAAAATTAAGGAAATTTTGTCACTGCATTACGCAGATTCCAGGGATA